TTCAGTTTCAGTTTCAGTTTCAGTTCAGTTATATATGCTTAGATCATGATATTGTTATTATTTTCAATGTTTACATTAGTATGAGTTTCTGCGGAGCACAAGTGTTTTAGTACTCACGCCCCCACGCATTTCATGTTTTTCAGGTCGCAGGGTCGGGGACGAGAGTGAGCTGGCGGGCAGTTCAGGATATTTGTGAATTATGTGTATATGTTTTGCCACGCTTTGGTTCCGCTAAAACTTTCAGTACTTATTTCCAGTTTTTGTTCCGACATTAGTCGGATAAGACATTATAACCGTTTTTATTTATTAGTTTAAAATTTAAACGGTTTTCAGAAAAAAAATCAAGTTTTTCACGGTAGCATCCCGAATCAGTTTTCGCAAAAATTAATGTTTTATTTATTTATTCAGAAAAATTGCGAAAAGTGCGTACTCTGATAGTATTAAAAAGTCGGGGTGTTACAAAAGGGATTTGGATTGACCAAGGGAGATGGAAGTGACTGACATTGAAAGGTCGACATGTGGTGAGCGTTGATGTGACAGAAGATCAACGATCCAGAGTAACAGGCGCGTTCAAAGCGTTTTTTAAGGGCGCGATTCCACGTGTCGCCTAATAAATGACATTTAAGACTGAAAAAAGGTTGGGTGCAATGAAAAGACATCATTATTGCATAAGTCATATCAGTTTGTTCAAGAATGGGGGACGCCATATGATATAGCACCCAAAATAGCTCGGTGAATGACCTGAGTGGGTAGCTTAGGTATGTCCAGTTCAAGGGAGACTCAGCTCGGTGTCCGTGTTGGACCTCGTAAGGGAGATCGCTTCGGCAGCTCGGGGTACGAGACAACCTGACTAAAGGATTAATGGGTCGAGCTCCTCCGAAAGCTCAAGAGTATTACGACCTAGAGGTCGTGCGTTAAAAGTCGCGGTTCTAAGCTGGAAAGCATCCACAACAGGAGGGCCACGAGGTCACTAGGACGATCTATGGACCTGGGAGCCATATGGTAAGTGGGGACATAATCTTATCCTACGAAGGATGGAAAATATATCTCACTTGAGGAGTCTATGATCCTAGAGACATGTTGAGCTAGGAAAAAATGTATAGTTGGATATGTTTCCTAGTGAGAATTCTACTTGGGCAAGAAAATACCCCGAGTATATAAAGGTTACAAGGTTTCACTCTAACATAACACGCATTATTACCCCTATGGCATATAGTTTTCAATATATTCGTATATTCGCAAGCAAGATTCTAACTTGAGCTTCGGAAATTTTTTATCGTGACCCCTACTCTACATGTTTTGCAGGTCATTGGAGCTCAAGGCGAAGGACTATTCGTGCTTATAACGGTTTAACCCGATTCAAAGGCAAATTGTATGTCAATAGTAATCCGAAAATGGGTGTTAGGTAGTCGGCAGAGAGATTTTAGATTTGTTGGCCATTTGTTAGAAAAGAAAAAATAAAGAATAATTTGAAAATACATGTTAGATAAATATTAAGTGCGTCTTTGGAATCACTTTTTTAAAGTTCATTTATTACATGGTCTTCTGAGAAATGAACTTATCCAAAAATCTCTATTATTTCTTTAGTTATGTAGAACGGACCTTTTAAAGAAGCAACTTATCTATAAATTCATTTTTTTTTTTTTTTTTTTTACGAACCATGAATTATTTACACAAATGAATTATTACATCCAAAAGTCCTTTATTAGATAAGTACTAGTATTAGATCCTGTGCATTTGCACAGATATAAAACACGTTTTTATTTGTATTTATTAATTAGACATGTACTTCTATCATATAAAAAATATTACTTTTTCTTAAGTTATTTTTATCATTCAATATTAATTGAGATAAAAATTTTATTTTAACAGTGCAACGTTTACATTAGTAACATGAATAAAATAATATATATATTTGGGGCATATATTAAGAAAATTAACATAAATAGAAAAAATTATTGGTGTTTCTGATTTTTAGAAAAAAATAATAATTGTCAATCACATTTTTCTTCTAACAATACAATCAAATATAGCGGTTACAGCTCTGAATGTGTCAATCAACTTTAAGTTCCAACATTAGCCGTTACACATTTGAATATTTTGCTACCAAATTTAGAATTAATTTAGTAACTGATCCAAAAAATAAATAATAAAAATATATATATATTAAGATGTAACGGTTTTAGCAGATTAGTGAGTAATTAATTAAAAAAATGTAACTCCTTTTGGAGGGAAATGAAAATAGCTTTTATTAAATGGTTTATTAAATGCATCAGCTAGTATATATATATATATATATATATATATATATATATATTTCCAAACAAGCTCTAAGTTGTTGAAATAGAACTTCGGAGATTTATTTATGGGTTGAATTTAACTGCCACCATTGAACTTCGAATTTGTTAGGATGTTTGGATACAAAACTATCTCAAAAAAAAA